TCTCATGTTTATGTCGAAATAGTAACAATTGCATAAATTAAAATTAAAGTAAAAATGAAGATTTTTTTTTTCAAATTATGTAACTAAGTTATAAATAATAATATTTGAATCTAACATGATTAACCATTTTGACTTGAGTGTCAATAGAATGTTCTAATCTTTCAATTATCGATCTTGTACCTTTTAATGTTTCTATCAATACATTATCAAAATGCTCCACCCCAAATTGAAATTGAGGTTTGAGAAAATATCCAAAGCATAATTTATAAGAATATCATTAAATAATAATAATAATTTAAAGTTTAAAGTAATCAAATTTTATCTATAATAAAATATAAAAATAATTATTAATTATAATAATGAGTTACTTGTGTTTTCAGATATGCCCAGAGTGGTTTGAGCTGATAAGGGAGAACGAAGATTCATAACCTTTACAATCTATGTCGATTGATTTGGATTATCAAACAATTCCAGATGAATAACTCCCAGAAATAATGTTTGTCGACTGGTCAATTCATTGTCCCTCCAGGGTATTTACTTTTTTTAATATAAAAAATTCTTATCCTTAGATCATCTTCGGAATAATCACTGAATAGATCTTAAGGAAACTAACAGATATTTCAATGCTCTTTATTTCATTTCCACGCTTCCACGATGTCATGAAACGTTGACGTGCTTGATTTGTAGTTTATTAACGTTTCCAGACTCATACAAATCACTTATTTAATCCTCAGCCATTGAGTCACTTATTTCATTTAACAGTCAAGTCTTTTTCGGTTACTTCAGAATTTTCCAGAGTAATTCAGACGTTTTCTGAATTTTGGATACATATTGTACTTTCGTTCAACTCAATTTGGTCTTCGTGGTTTATTTGTCAAACAAATATCCGATTCTTAATACTGAATATGATATAGAGTTGAGCTTAGCTGAATACTTCCAAAATTAACATCGAGCCACACTTGAGAAGACGAACACGCATTCAAGTAACATCTATGTCGTTCAGGTACTGACATATCATTAAGATTGATCAACTCACTTAAGTTGTGTTCCATAACTTTTAAAGGTAGTCCAATACCTATTCTTATTTGGATTCCTTAATTAATCCAAGACATTTACTTAGTATAGGCCATAAAGGTATTTTGGTCATTTTGGTGTTCAGTTTTATTCCATTCATTACAGAGCTCAAGGATATCCAATCATTCCTGAGCTTGGTGATATTCTTGGGTAATTTATATTACAGGGGTATTTTGGTCATTTTACAGATCTGGTGTGTTTCAATCCCTTCCTTCCATATGATCTTATTATCCAATTCAAACGTATCATCTTTTCCAAACCTTTCGAACAATTCTGACAAAAGAGCACCCTCGATAATTTATCCTTAACTCGAAGATTTTCAGGTCAATTGTCTTCTCAGAAGTTATCAATAGGTTATCAGGAATTTTCTGTACAAAGACAGAATCTTAACATTTAAATCTATAATTTATCGAGCTAAATACGAATCTTCAAAGTATTTTCTCATTCATGATCAACATGAACTATTTTTTACCTTTTAAGGGTATTTTCGTAATTTCTTAACCCAAATAATTTCGGTATTAACTCTTAACGAAAATAACTATAATTTAGAAATCCTATGGTTAATTAATTTCCCGAACATTATCTGATCTCGAAATGATTCCTTAACAGACTTTTAGTATCTTGCATAAACCCTCTTAGGGTTAAAAACCAGTTATCCAAATTTCTAAACAAAACTAGCATTTCTTATGCACATATGCAAATTTTTCAGATCAATATGCCTTTTCAGAGTTATTAATTAACTTCCAAGAACAATTCTTGTCATTATACAACATAAAAGTATTTTCGTAATTTATCGCTTAAACCGTATTCGGTTAAAATCCATCCATAATCAAACAAGAATAATAGACCAATCATATATATATATCCATTCATTTATCCATTATCAACATGTTCCATAAAACATAAACAATAAAACATAAAGAGGTAGCAATGTATTATTTCATTTTACGTGTCATACTGGTCGACCATTTAAATTTCATTCGAACGCCCTCGATCTTTAATTCAACTTCCAATATTTTCCAAACGATCCAAGCCATCAAAATTACTAACTTGTATCTAAATAATTTCCCTTGCCATAAAGATAGCGTATTAGAATTGAAATAATAATTTGAAAACCCAATTAGTATAATAAAATACTTGTGGGGCTACTTTAATAATTAATCATAATTAGAGACTGAACCGACTTCCTTGTGGTTCGATGCCGAGATCCTCCTCAGTCGATTGTAAAGATCCATTTTGACGCCCATTTATTACTTGCATCAAAAGTTGCATGGTCAGGTATCATCATTCGTGACAACCTTGGGTAGATTCTAGGTGCATGCAGAAGGAAGGTTTCAAGAATTACCTATGTTTTATGGGGTGAAGCTTGGGCAGCGATTCATGCCATAGATTTTGCACATGATCTGGGATTTCAAAACTTCATTGTGGACGGGAATTCAAAGACGGTGATCGAGAAGATTTCATCTTTGGAATCAGATAGTTTAGAAATTAGTGCGTTGATTTGGGAAAGTCGGCGACGGACAGTTGGTTTCCATGCCTGTTCATTCTGCTACACCCCTCCTGCTGTGGAACTTCAAGCGGCGGAGGATCGTCGCTACCTGGACCCTCCTTAGATGGCTTCCGAGGGGTTGAGTTGCTGCTCACTTAGGTTCGAATTTTGCTTCTTATGTTTCTTCTTGCAGATCTCTCGTTTATGGTTTCCAGTACATGCAAGAAGAATAAATGCCGGACATTGCATTTTGTTTTCTGATTATTTTGATGAAGATTTGGGGGTTCTAGACTTTAGAGTGCCCATTGTTGGTCTGACACCTTGGTTAAGAAACACCAAGTCTTACACTGTTCATCAAAATATCTTTCAAGTGTGTGGTTCACCATTTTCCAAGTTATAAAATTATTAATAAAATTTTCATCAATCCAAAAGATAAACTTTCACATCAATTCAATAACCTCTTAAAGTTAAAATAATTCTGAATCTCTAATTTTAGTCTAGTAAGAGATAGTAACACTATAGTTTAAGAAATGTTAATTTTTTTTAGATAAAATAACATTAGTGACTAAAAATGTTTTATAATATACGATTTTTATTAATTTTTTTTTGATTTGTCAAAATTATCAACTAAATCGCAATGCGATCGATAATTCGCAACGCGATCTCTGATATCGCAAATTAGTTTCCAGATTCACAACACGAACATCGACTATCGCAACACGAACATCGACTATCGCAATGCGATTTTCTAAATTCGTTGCGATAGTCTAAGTTCGCGTTGCGATTTATTCCAAATTCGTTGCGATAGTTCAAGTTCGCGTTGCGATAGTCCAAGTTCGTTGCGATAGTCGAAGTTCACGTTGCGATTTATTCCAAATTCGTCGCGATAGTCGAAGATCGCGTTGCGATTTATTTCAAATTCGTTGCGATAGTCCAAGTTCGCGTTGCGATTTATTCTAAGTTCGTTGCGATAGTCGAAGTTCGCGTTGCGATTTATTCCAAATTCGTTGTGATAGTCAAAAATCGCAACGACTGGTGGTATTGCATTTGTTTCTTAAGAATTTTCTCTAAAAAGATAGTATTCGCGCGGACGTGTCGAAGACACGTATTACCACGACCACGACCACGACCCGAGACGAGACGAAGACGCGATTTAGTTGGTCATTTTGGTAAATAAAAAAAATTGGTTAAAATCATATATTATAAGGCATCTTTGGTCATTGAGATTATTTTCTCTTTTTTTTATCATAGGGTTCATTTTTGAAGCTAACTACCAATAGCAAACAAAAGTGTTGGTGGTACAGTGGTTGTACTACTTGTAGAAAGAGACAAAGAAGAAATGGAGATGGATATAACAAAGCTGGATTTTGACTTTATGGGAGCATATGTCCTATGCAGGAGTGGAAGTCCTCTGATACTTTCTGATTTAAAGAATGGTAAATTTACACTTAGATTCCCTTAATTTCTTCAACATTTCCTTGAGCACCCAACATTATTATTGGTATGTTATTTTAACTTTATAAAAAAAATTAACCCCAAATTTAAGGGTGTGACATTTAATGTTATATAGAACAAACAATGTTTTATACCTATATTCAAGTAGAATTTATCTGGAAAAAAGAAAAGAAAACTCTCAAAAGAATTCTATCATTCAAGAAATTAACTAACAACGACATTATTCTTTATTTCATGGTGGATCTAGATGATAAATATCTTTTGCAACTCTCATATTACAATAATTATGTATTTTTTATACACAAAAACCATAACTTTAATGTTATATAGAACAAACAATGTTTTATACCTATATTCAAGTAGAATTTATCTGGGGGGGGGGAAGAAAACTCAAGAATTCTGTCATTCAAGAAATTAACTAACAACGACATTATTCTTTAATTCTTCATGGATCTAGATAATAAATGGTAAACTATATATTAGTAATTTGAGTGTGATAAAGATGAAATATCAACCAACCAAAATTAGTACATAACTTTCCATTTACTTTCATGATTCTTTTTCTAAATTATCTCAATGATATGAAAAATCAAAACTGCATGACACCAATTAACATGTGACCGTAAGTAACTTAATTTGGGATGATAAAATCAAACACAATCTGAATGACCCACCAAATCCAACCTGATTTGACTTTGAAGTCAACAAATTAAACCTAAACAAACTTGAAATGACCAAAATGTATATTGACTGAAACCCAAAATAACCCCAATTTTACAAGACCCTATATAGCCCTACCCTCTCAATTACCACCACTACATCATAATTTGGCCAGTGTCAATATGCAGCTAAAAAATACAGCATTAAATTAATTACATATATAACTAAAGAAGCAAAGAAAAATTGAACACCAACCTTTCTTGCAACATCAGTTCCAGAAAGATCATCCCTGGGATCAGGTTCAGTATAACCTGCTTCTTTAGCCTCTGCTACCACCTCACTAAAGGTTCTAGTACCGGTGAAGTTGTTGAAAATATAACTCAAAGTGCCACTGCAAGTAATAATAAAGCATGTCAAAGTCAAATGATGCATACTAGGAGATATAAAATTACATGAAAATATGAAACACCTGAAAATGCCCTCAATGCGCAATATTTTGTCCCCAGTTTCAAGGAGGCCCCGTAAAGTGCTAACAATTGGAAGACCTGCTCCTACAGTTGCTTCATAGAAGTAATGTGTAGGATTGTCGCTGAAGAGCTCTCAGCTTTAGGTACTGTGTTTCACATAAATAGCATATCAACAAAGCAGAGAGACAAGTCCAGTAATATAAAATGTTATTAGGAAAAAAAATGAGATGCAATCAGCTGAAACAAATTGCACCAAGCAAAATCATTAAGATAAACAGTTTCAGTAAAACATATATATATACCGACACATAAACATCATTCAAATACCCTTTCAATGAGGATGAGCCACAAACAAATTAAAGGAAGATGGAATTTTTACAAGTTCTAATAGCCAAAATTACTAGAATTAATATTACCTTATCGAGCAGTCCCGAATTGGCCTTTTTGTTTGGAGTGATTACATGAATCGCTTTACATAACCAGTCATGGTAACAGCTTGTAACATTAGAGTCTGCTGTACAATCTACCAGAGCAGTATTTGGAATAAAATGATTTCCGTGCGCACATGTTGAGTAAATTTTTCTATATCAGAAACTTGCCCATTCTGCTTCAGAAGTTCTCTCCATCTTGACAAGTCAATGCCACTGCAGCAACAGCGGGATGAGTCAATCATAGGAACATAATTCAGAATGGAAAAACATGAAATCAAAGGTAAAATAGACAACACAAACACTTCTAAATTATGAGAAACAGTTCATCAACAAGTACCAATGGTCAAACTGAAGGAGAAAACAGTGAGTTTGATGGTGGACACACAGTGGAAAACATGTAAATTACAATAACAATAGTGGCAGATTTATGCTTTAAAACACAAGATGCAGAGAAAAGAAAATGAAGTATAAATGAGAAACTACAAAAACACTTTACAGAATATAAGTCTAAAAGACCAACACAAGGGCCATTAACTATGACATGGTAAATTCATAATTTTGTATATATGTAAAAGGAGGTAAAATGTAGTCTGTGATACAAATGAAAGGTTAAATGTATCAATTAAACTGATAAATCTGTAAACCAATAGAAACTTAAATAGTAGAGCACATATATGTCAAATTAAATGAAATTAAATGATTTTTTTTATAAGTGGAGGTCTCGTTAAAAAACGCATTCATGATTAAAGGAGCGCTAATAGGTGCTCCTTAATCAGCGGAAGGAGGAAAAGAGTGCCTCAAAATTCATTAATAACTGAAAAGTTACATAATGTTAGAAAAAAGAGCCAAAACCCCCTACAATGAACAACCCGAAACACTCAAACAAACATCCTAAACAAAACATAAAACTAACCAATACCAGCCTTAGCTAAGATATCAGCATCTATATTAGTTGTTCTAGCAAACCATCTAATCACAACCTCCATTTCTCTTAACGGAGTAGCAATGACCTTCACTAAATCAACATAAACAAAAGGACAACTATCTAAATTCTTAACCCATTCCACTGCTAGTTTACTATCAGTTTCAACAATCAAATGATTCTTGGACCTTTGAAGAAGAGAATGAAAGAAAATTAAACCCTTTTTAATGGCTTTCAGCCCTATCAAAGTAGGAGGACCTGGACCAGAAGCCTCTTGGAAAGAACCCATCAACATACCAACCTTATCTCTTAATAAACCACCTATACCACTTTTTCGCTAATCACCACTCACAGCTGCATCCACATTCAATTTTAGAAAGCCTTTTAGAGGAGGAAGCCAAGGCAAAATATTTAGAATCGAATTCCTGGAAGAAGAGCATAAATCTCCAATAGAGGGATCACTAATGAGAGAGTCCTTAGAAATAGATACATCCTTAAGCTTAGCTAAGAACCAAGAAGCTAGCCTGAATCTTGCCATAAAAAATATATTGATCTGATCTAACGCCCCCCTTCAAACACAATGGCATTTCTGTGTTTCAAAATTGTCCAAAGAACGACTCCCGAGATAAAGGACCAAATACAAGAATAAGACACCAAATCATCCCAAACTAGTAAAAACTTTGAGCATTGACATGTAGAACCGAACTAACTTTCCAAAAATTCAGAAACTTATTCCATAGGGACCACGCCACAGAACAAGTGAAGAATAAATGAGATGGAGATTCAATTTCCCTTTTACAAAAAGGACATGCAATGTCTACAATCCCCGAAACCCCTCGCTTTTGTAATTCAGACTTTACTGCCAATTTCTGGTGCAATATCTGCCACATAAAAGTCTCCACTCTTGGAGGCACCAAACCCCTCCAGATGTTTTCCATACAAAAAGTCTCAGCTGTGGAATCATAGTAACATAACTTCATACAATAATTGATAGAATAAATACCTTCCTCATTTCCTCTCCAGATCAGACCATCTCTCGACTCTTGGGAGAGACTAATATTATGAATGATAGCCAGTAAGTCTGAAAATTGATCCAGCTCCAAATCACACAAATTCCTTCTCATCTGAACATACCAAGACCACCCTGTTGATCGAAACTCCCCAAACTCAATTAACTTCCCATTCTGATTCATAGAAAGAGCAAATAATTTCGGGAAAACAACTTTAAAAGGAGAATATAATGCCCATCTATCAAACCAAAAACGAATACTCTCTCCATTACCCACTTTGACTAGAAACAAGCTTCGAAACTTAGCACCAAACTGATCTTCTTTAAAATGGTCATTGACCACCGATTTCCAAAGCCAAGAGACATTTGTAGGAAGTTTACTCTTGAACAATAACAGACTAGAGTTCAGATTATATTTGTTACAAATCACCTTCTTCCAAATGGAGTCCCTATCATTAGTAAACTTCTAAGACCATTTCCCTAGTAGAGCTCTATTCATGAATTTAAGATTCAACACACCGAGACCACCAAAACTTCTTGCTTTACACACTGTCAACCAGTTAACCCAGTGAATCTTTTTGGACTCTGCCCCTCCTCCCCATAAAAAGTTGGCCATGATGGAATTATGTTTTAAATTCACCGCAACAGGAATCTTGAATAAAGACAAAAAATATATAGGTAAAGAGCTCAACACCGGCTTCTACAAAACCAATCTCCCTGTCAAAGAGAGGGTTTTGCCTTCCAACTGGCCAGCTTCTTAAAAAATTTTGAACAACCGGATCCCACAAAGCTAAAGAGTTTTGTTAGCACCAAGCGGCAACCCTAGATAATCAGAATGGAAACGACCAACTGAACAACCAATTTCACCCGCCCATTCCTCAGCCTCTTCCTCACTAATGTTAATGCCAAATAATTTGCTTTTGCTGAGATTCAGTTGAAGACCGGACATAACTTTAAAAACCAGTAAAACTCTCTTTACATTTAAAATCTGCGTCTTCGATGCATTACAAAAAATAATGAGATCATCTACAAATTGCAGATGAGATAACATAAAGGAGCCCTCATCTTTGCCTAAAACCATTCCACAGAACAGACCCGAAGAAACTGCCTTAAGAAGCAATAATTCAAAAGCTCTCCTATAAAGTTAAACAATAGTGGGGAAAGGGATCATCCTTGTCAAATTAAATGATTAATTTTAGGTTTTTCTAACTTCCAATAAATCTCTTTGTATTCGTAAAAAATATTTAAAGACGAACCAAATTAAATTCTTCACAAGTCAAACCATCAACTATAGGTCAAAGGAGGCATATAGTCTCATTGTAGTGCAAGTTGAGAAGAATAATGATACATAGGCTTTTTAGAGTTCAACATTTTATTCAAATAAATTTTCTAGTTCAATACAATACCCAAATCACACTAAAGAATGATTTTCAAGAAAATTGAATACCACAATTTTATAGAATTCATTTCCATCGATAATTTGATATGCTTCAAATCAATGGAACATAAACGATTGCATAACATTTGATGGAATTAATTTACTCCAAACAAACACTAAAGAACATAAAGACACATATATTACCCATAAACTGTCGTAACCAGTTTTTGTTCAGGTACGAATTTTTACTTGGCGGGAAAAATAAAATGAATAAATAAATAATTTTGATTTTAAAAAAATGTCTTGGGAGTCGCCATTGACCTTTTTGGGTTAGGTAGGTCAAATACCTAAAAACGATCTTTTAAAATAGTTTTTAAGAAAACATAATTTAAAAGATAAACTGATCTGCGTATAACCAAAAAAAATTAGTAAAACAAATTCGTGGTCGGTTACGTTTAAGGAATGATTAACACCTCTATAACGCCCAAAATTAGTACCCATTAATTATAAATTGTCTCTATTATTAGAAATTTAAGAATTCAAAAATATATTTAATTCATAATCTTGTTATTTCAAATTTAATCTGATATTTCTAAGGAAAAAATATTAAATATATATATATTTAGGGTTTTGTAAATAGGACATTTATTTATTTAAAAATATCAAAAAATGACATCTAGTTGCTTTAAGATTGTCTTTTCTTTAATATAAATAAATAAATAAATATTAATAAGAATATAATAATAATAATAACTAAGTAAATATATATACATTTATAAGCAGGATATTTATTTATTTTTTAAAATATCAGAATAGGAAGTCTAGTTATTTTAAGACCGTCCTTTCTTAATATTAAATAAATAAATAAATATTGAAAATGTGATAATTTTCCTAAAAAATAATTTAAATAAAACAATATATATATATTCTGGTTTTTATAAGCAATATATTTATTTATTTTAAAATACCAGAATAGGACATCTAGTTATATTAAGACTGCCCTTTCTTCGATATTTAAACAATAAATAAATACTATTAATTTGTGAAATTTATTAAATAATATTTACAAATCTTTCATATGCATATATATATATATATATATATATATATATATATATATTATATATATATGTATATGTATATATTAGCATGACTAAAATAATAATTAAATAATTATTAAAATAAAATACTAATTTAAACATAATAAAAAAATAGAAATAAAATTGCAATAAAATGACCAAAACAAAATGAATTAAAAACTTATAGTATTAAAATATAAATTATTTAAATTAATTTACATAATTCGAAATATTATAAAATATAATTATTAACAGTGTAATTTTACCATAATACATTATTAGGGATTAAAATTAAAGTTAATAAAATTACAAGGGCTAAATATATTATTTACCCTAAATATTATATAAACATGGTAATGACTAAATTATAATAAAATAAAATTCGGGAACAAAATTAAAATGCTCGAAAAATTAATTTAGTGACTAAAATAGAAGTCTACCAAATCAGGGGGATAACGCATATGGTTTTCCTATGAGGGAAATTACACCGAAGCCCTCATCAAAACGGTGTCATTTTGATGAGGGTATTAATACCCTTTAAACTGGCTCCCTTGAGCCATTTCTCTCTTTTTCTTCTTTTTCATTCTCTCTCTATCAGAGAGAATATTTTTTTCTCTCATCTCTCTCCTAAAATCTCCGCCCGAAGGAAGCCCGGGCACCGAACGACTGTCGTACTCCCACGGCAGTAGCCCCCGCCGGCCACCATAAATGGTGGTCGAAAATTATATTTTTA